AGTCCTCTTCTTATGGTGATTTCAACAGGTTTAAAAATTATATATATATATATATATATATATATATATATTCATTCTTGTATAGGAAGAACATCAACCACATTTTCAAACACTATCACCCAAGCCTCTGTTTTTGGTCTCTCTGCCTCTAGTTGAGGCCTTTGCCTAAAATTCGGTCTTCACATCCCAGCCAGTGGATTATTTTAAAAACATAAGCCTTACTTCATCACACACTTCCATTGGCTCTTGGGATAAAACCTTCTCCACATAGTTTCCTTGGTCCCTTGTGATCTGAGTACTGCTCTGCCCTATCATAATCTCAGGCCACCATCCCCTTTCCTCACTGAGATCCAGCCACTGCAGCTTCAATCAGTTCTCTGGCTGCCAAGCTCCTTCCTACCACTGGGCCTTTGCATGAGCTGTGTCCTCTATCTGGACTTTGTCTGGCCCACTCACAATACCTCAATTTAGATATGCTTTCTTTCAGGAAGCTTTTTATTAAGAACCTTCCCCCAACTAGGTTTGGTCCTCCAGATATATGGTTTTTCAATAGTTGAATTATTTTCTGTGTATCTGGGCTATTATGATACAATAGTTTGAGTGGCAAGTGTGTGGCCCTGTATTAAACATCTGCCATGTTTGGGCCTGGACAGCACATTCTGAGTGTTCTTCCAATGCTTCTGGAGCTTGACACATGATAAGAAACCTACTAAGGTGGAGGTCACCACTTGCTATCCCAGGTCCCCTCCAGTGATGGGCAGGGTCAGGACCAAGGGTGTGCCCATCAGTGGCAGTTCTGTGGGACTAGACTGGAAGAAAGCAACACAAGGAAATCTGGTGCCAGGTGGATTTGAGTTTTTGGCAAGTGTGGCAGTGGAGGAGTTGGACTATTCAAGACAGCCATGTGGCATTTCTGGCACCCTGTCTCGGTGTGTTTGTGACCAAAAGTGGTGGAGTGAGGGCCTTGCCACAGTGATTCACTGGTGTAGGATGTGCACTGCTCCTGTTTCACTGCTTCTGACCTGAGCTCAACCTTCCTGTAGACAGGCAAACTCCCCATTGCCTAGACTGTGTGGGGCTTCTGCAGAGTGAAAAGTCTGCAACACCCCTAACAGACACTGCGTCCATCAGGGGTCTCCAGGAAAACAGAATGTATTTCTGTTTAGATGCATACATACTTCCAACTCAGGGCTGGAGATACAACCCAGGGCCTCACACATGTTAGGAAATGTTGTACCTCTGAGTTATCCCCCCAGCCCTAAAGGGAGATACATTATATGGTCCTGGTTCATGCAATTATACAGGCTGGGAAGTCAATTGCCATCTGCAAGCTGGAGACATGAGGGCCTGAATAGTGTATTCGAAGGCACAAAAGACTGAAGTTTTAGCTTCATCAGGTACAGGAAGAGTGGATCAATCTTCTTCCACAATTTTGTTCTATCCAGGCCCTGGACAGATTAAATGGTGCCCACCCTCATCAGGGCAAATGCTTTACTCAGTTTACCTATTCCTATGCTAATCTGTTCTAGAACCCTCCTCACAGACACACCAGAGCTAACGTCATTCAAGTATCTGGGCATTCTGGGGTCTTTTCAAGTTGACACATCAAACTGACAATCACCCTTCCTAACCAGACCCTCATGCCCTGGGAGGTCAACACCTCAGAGCAGTTTGCTCCTGTGTTTCCAGACTAGCAAGGCCACCATGGCCGGAGCAAGCACCTAGTGACTCCTTACCCAGAGAAGGAACAGACAGTTCTGTACTTCCCACAGCCCCAACAAGACTGGATGCCTGGAAGACAGAGCCGGCCTGAGGCCCCACTGTCCTGCCAGATCCTTCTTCTAAGTGTTGCTCTCAGAGCTGACCTTAGTCACATTCTTGCCTCCCGCCCAGCAGAAGGGGCTCCTATGCAGCTTGGTCCAGAGGGGTTCTAAGGCCTCTACCAGTACAAGTCCCTGACCTCTCCTGCCCCCCACCCTCAACCTGCCCTCCAGGCTCCAAAACCCTAGGGACTCTGAGCCCCACACACCTGTTCTCACTCACATCCAGACTTAGGGCCAACCCTGGGGATCTTGCCATATTCTCAGGGCCTCTCCAAGGATAAGCAGTGGCCCTTCATTTTACCTCAATATCCCTCCCCTCAGAGAGGAGGAGTCTAAGCATGGGAACAAGTTGGGGTCCTTCGTTCCCCTAAGAAACTCCTCTCCAGACCCGAGGGGAGGAGGACCCTAAGTGGAGGAAGGGAACGTTCCTGTCCCATAGAAACTCAGGGACCCAGGGAAGCTTGCTGTGGTCTGAGTCTCACAGAGTCCCCATCAGGCATGGGTTCCCCTGTCTGCTCAGCTCTCTCTCTCTCTCTCTCTCTCTGATTATCTGGACAGGCTTGGGGAGTGTCCTGTTCCTCCTCCTTCTGCAAGAACCTCCTACCCAATCCTATGCTGGCAAGACCAGCAGCCCCTTCTTCCACCACCCGTTCAGGCTCACTGAGCCCAGCCAGGTCCTGGGAGTCCTCTGCCATCTCTCAGGACCTCAAGTGGGAGTAGGTCAGGTCAGTCAGAGCTTGACCGTATTTAGTGCGCCACCTGGTGGCCAGGATAAACATTGCTCTTCCCAGCCCACCCCCTTGCCTGCCATCCAGCGTCCTTCTGAAAAGTCTCTGACATTATGTATTGATCAACCCTTCCCACTGCAGGTGGGGAAGTTGAGGCCCTGAAGGAAGAAGAGTTTGCCAGTCAAGGGATCTGCCCCAGTCCACAGATACCCATCACGGAAGGGACTAAAGAAGTGGTGGGAACTTGAAGCTCCAGGTGCAATTGGAAGGAAGCAAGAGGTAGACTTGCAGCCCTGGTACCTCTGGGAAGGGATGGAGAGGAGACATGTCTCTACCATAGCGACCCGTGAGCTACCTTCTAATGGTGACTGAGCACTGACACTAACTAGATGCTGATTAGCAGTAATAGCCGCTAACATTAACTGACACTAATCATTAACTGCTAACTAACCACTAACACCAGTCATTAACACTAACTTACTATAACCACTAACTGCTAACACTAACTACTCCTTAATCACTAATTAATCACTAGCATTAACTAACACTAACCACTAACTCCACTGTGCTAACACCTCTACCAACTGCTAACACCAGTTAAAACTGAGAGACATTTTTAATGATAAAAAACTTTTCAGGAAACATTCAAAATATCAGTAATGTCTTAAGGTAATAAGACTATGGGTTGATTTTATTTTCTTTTTTATCCCTTCTGTATCTCCCAAATGCTTGCAATAAGTGTGAATTACTTTTATGATTTGAGACTACAGCAGGAATACATGATAAGTTTTCAGACTGGGCCAAACTTTGACATTTGTCTGATCAGGCAGGTGCCAGGCAGCAAGGCATCACAGATGACAGCATGACTTTAGTTTTCATATGACTGCGTCTGAAGGAACCCCCTGAGTGTGAGGTACACACACACCTGGGGACCAGCATCATGGTCCTTTCTGTCCCAGCACATATAAGAAAGGAAACCTTGTTGTGGAAGACAAAACAGAAAAGAATCACAAGAGATTACAGAGACAGGAGGAACCCAGGCAAGGCCTGGCACAGGGTAAGTGGCACCTGGTGATCAGGCCAAGTGGATAGAGGTTAGAGGGGGAGATTTGGAATGGCAGGGAAGCTGTGTAGTGAGAGAAGGCTTCCTGGAGTATGTGGAGCTGAGTTCTGCAGGTTTGATCAGCTGTGGGTAGACTAAGATGGGGGAGACTTCATCCTGACCTGCATAGTGTCCATTTCTGCCTGTTCTCTGTCCTGAAATCCCTCTACCCCCATCAGTGAACAAACAGGTCCCCAAGGTCAGCACCTGGTCCCTTTCTGCTCCTTCCTGCCAAAGAGGATGGAAGAAAAATGGACCTACCATTGGGTCCATCACTGGGTGGGGGACAGCAGGCAGCAGGCGCACAGAAAATGACACAGAGAAACATCAATAATTGAGGAATCTCTGTCCCAGAGACAAACAAGGAAAGAGACTCAAGCGATTTCCAGAACAAACCCAAAATGTTAACAGGCACAAGAAGAGCCATTCACACTTGTTAGACATCACGGAAATGCAAATGTGTGTTGTCACTGTACCCCATTTGATTTGCAAACATTAAAAAGCAGTAGAAAGCCAAGTGCTGATGGAAGAACCTGGAGCACTGTGGGTGAGGGGCTGATTTGCAGGTGAAGGACCTGGGACTACTGAGTTTCTTCAGAAGAGGTGAGATTGGTGCCCTAGGGCTCTGCTCCTGGGTATGAACCCCAAAGATAGGCTCCATTCTAGGACCCACGGGGGGATGAGAAGGTGGATGTTCACCTGGTGGGGAGAACGGATAACCCGTGGGCCATGATATCATGTGGCCGAAACAGTGGACTAAATGTCCATACGGCAATGCAGTGGACCTCCTAAACGTGCAGTGCTGAGGGGGAGACATTAGAAGCAAGACGAAACATATGACCAGCAGCATGTATGCAAATTCAAACAACAGGCACACAAAACGCTCCATATTTGGTGAAACACACAGAAACAAAGATTCACATTAAGCATGTTGACTTGTTTGCCTGTGAGAGGAGGGAACAGCAGTGTGGGTGGGGACAAGAGAGAATACATTGTAAATATAAATAAAACATGAGGATCCTTGTAGAGACAAGTGATGATAATGTAGCATATACAGAGGAATGATAAATGCACTCTGTACCAGAAGCCCAAATAAAGGATGTAGAGAGAGCTCCTCTTCGGAGAACATTTACTCACTCAAACATCGATCATTCATGTGCAAGTTTATTGGCTCCTCCAGGCCTTGGGCTATAGCCCCAGGCTCTAGGAAAAGAACAGATGGTGACAGAGACAGGAACACGGAAGTCAGAGTCTGACAATTAGGGACCTAGAGAAAAGTCAGAGGTAGACGCAGGAGAAGGGCAGCCGCTGCCTAGAGCTAGATGGCAGCTTGGGTAGGGGCTCAGCGTGAGGGCTCCCAGAGGCCCCTTGGTTCCTCCAGAGAGTGGTGGACCCATTGCAGTGGCCCAAGTTCAGGTGTGGACTCCTGGTACATGATGAGGCCAACCTAGCACATGGATGTCAGCACCTTCGCCCCCGAGCAGGAAGGCTTGGTCCACCTAGTGCAGGTCCTCCGAGCTGGCAGAAGTTCAGGGTCATGGCCGTGCCACTTCCGTGAGATCTCTGTCCTCACCTCCAGGGACAAGGGAGAGGTGCAGGGAGAAAATAGGGCAGGATGAGGAAAGCCATGGTTGGTCACAGGCACTGCCAAGTACTGCCTCTGGAAGGTACTACTTCCTCCTTCCTCTGAGTATACCTGACCATTGCATTTAGTTCCTTTGTCTACCTTTTTGCACTGCTTTTGTCTGAGCCAAGCTAAAGAACACTTATGAGGAGGGAGAGGACTCAGCCTTCTGTCTGAGGCACTGTTGTTGAGGAAGCTGTAGGAACAGCAGTTTGGGGGCAGGGCTATAAGGTGCAGAGGGAGTGGAAGGACTTGCCTGGCCTGACAAGAATGGGACTGTGATGAAAGAAAAAGGGAGAGAGATTTCTGTCCAACAGAAGGATGATTATCCCACAGCTGCCCGACAACAGAAAGCACTCTTGGGAGGTAGTCACCTTCCTGTAGGCAGAAGTACATAACCATCTGGTCTTCCTGAGACTGGCCCCTTCATAACTTTCTGTGGAAATGCCTTTCCCAATCCCACTAGCCTATGGGAGGGTGCTCCTCCCCCTCCCAGACTCCCAGGTCCCCCAGGATTCTGCTACACCCTGACACTGTAGTAATGTGTCTGCATCCCAGACCCAGACAAGGCTGTGCAAGACATGGCTGGGTCAGGAGGAAGGGAGCCAGAGAGAAAAGAGCAGGCAGGGACAGAGGTGGCAGATGAGGCCGGGAGAGGGGCTCTACCAGGGGAGCAGGATTTCTCAATCAGGTATCCTAAGAAGGCAGAATCACTGCAAATTCATGGCCACTAGGGGGAGCCCATGACCTTGCCCGTGTGACCTGCAAGGAACCCAGAGCTTGGGCAGAATTCTCCCACCGCCCTCTGGGGATGGTAAGACTGCCATAAGGGGAGAAATCACAGGGTTTTCTGGGTGCTTTTTCCCCATGGTGCTACTTCTGCAGCAGCACTGGCTATTCTGCCTCTTCACGTTTGCCTCTGCTTCTTGTTTCATCTCTTTGCACGTCTCTTTCTTCCAGGTGCTGCTTCCAGGCTCTGGATCTACCTCCCTATCTCTGCATCTGACTCTATTTCCCTAGTTCCCTCTATATCTACCTCTGACTTGCTTGGTTCCTCTGTCTCTGTTCTCTCATTTTCTCTCTCCCACCTGGAACATTCTCTCCCTCAATTTCCCTTGATCCATGAAAGACCTCCTCCTCCTCCAGGTGTGTGAGCAGTAGAATCTGGCCCTGCTCAGTGGAGTGATGATGTTTACAGACCACCTTCAGATTCAGCTTGATACAGAAGCTTAGGACAGACTCCCAAAAAGGATCACAAGAGTGCAGAATCTCCAGAGTCAGCCTAGGATGGGGTTTGCAAGGCATGGGTGGGAGAAAGGGGGCTAAGGGCTGCAGGAGAGGAAGTTCAATGAGTAAGGAAGAGCCTGGAGGGTCACACACCTCTTGGTTGAGGAAGCAGTAGAGGACAGCAACGATGAAACCCTGTGCAGTCAAAGAGGAAGGACTCCCATCAGAAGTGATCTGGAAGTGTCCCAGTCTTTCTATTACCTTCTCCCCACTCAACCCCAGGCTGGACCAGGTCTGAAAAGGGAACTGAGATGCATTCATCACCTGTTACATGCCAGGCACCTATAATCATGCAGTCATCATAGAAGCCCGCCAGAGCAGCATGGTTAGCCCTGGATCTCTGGCTTTCTTTATTTCTGCATCCTCTATTAATGAGCACATTGCCTGGCATTTAATAGCTGCTCAGAAAAGTTGAAATGATAGGATGGGTGGATAGATAGATCAATGGATGGATAGATGGATAGATAGGTGAGTGGGTAGGTGGATGAGCAGGCAGGTGGGTGGATGGATGGATAAGTGAATGGGTGGATGGGTGGATGGGTTGGGTAGATGGATATATAAGAAGTTGAATTGATAGGGAGAGAGAAGATGGATAGACAGACAGATAGTTGAATAGATGGTTGAATTAAATTTGCCCTTGTCCTATCATGAAGTTAACCAATTTCTCGAGTCCTTAGAGAGGAGTGCCTGAGGTGGCCTCACCTGGAAGGAGCCCAGTCCCAGCTCCAGGGGAAGGCGGATGCCCAGGCCAGTATTGTCAGGCAGGAAATTGAAAATGATGTAGTGAATTCCAAACAGTGGGATGAGGAGAAGTGTTGACTTGGACAGGCGCCTGCAGGAAAGACAAACCCTAGTCTCCAAGGATGAGATTGGAAACTCCCTTCTGCTCCTTTCCACTCACACTGTCCACCACTTGCCCATATCCACCCGCCCACTAACCATCTTGGATACTCCGTCCTTGAGGCTTTCTTACTTTGGGACCTTGGATCCTGTTCTTGTCAATATTCTTGTCCCAGCTATTCCAGAGTGTAAGCATCTTTCAATGTCTAGTTGAAATACCACCTCCTCCAGGAAGTCTTCCCCAACCCCCTTCTTCCCTTATCTAGAGAGGATCTCCTTCTCCAGGCTCCCCTATTTAACTGGAGGTCTGGGGTCCCGATCTTTCCTATACAGTGATCTCCTGGCAGGGAGGAACCAGATCTGTTCTTTCTCTTTGGACATACGGAAGAGGAGAGGGCCAGGGTTATGAATGCCTGCCAGATGAGACAGAACCACATGAAATCCCCTCCAGAGACACCTTCTCGAGGGTCCCTAACACACACACACACACACACACACACACACACACACACACAGTACCAGTACTGAGACTGGGAGTGGAGGCTACCCTGCGCTGGCTCCAATTTCCTTAGCAGGATACGAACAATATTGAGAAACAGCCCAAAATTCACCTGGAAATGAGGCACAGGGAGGTGGAGACAAGGGTCAAGGTGGCCCTGAGTGTCCAAGGATTGGGCCTAGCCCCTTTGGGGACTAGGAACCCCAAATCCTTGAGATGCAGGGATGGGCCTGTGGATGGATGCATAGATGGCAACTCCAGAATATGTGACCTGGAGAGTTGGAGGTCCCATGTGGGGACCATGAAGAGTAGGGGAGGTCTCAGGGTCCCCTTTCCTCTCCAACACTGGGAGCAAGGTGAGATGGTCAGGTCTTGCTACCTGGTCCATGTTCCAAGTAGGGTCCAGGGGATGTTTACCCACAGGCTTCATCTCCTCCCCACCCTGGCCCTTTATCCAACAGGAGATGACCTGTCTCCAGCATGCCAGGCACATGGAAACTCCAAGTCAGGAGACCTGAGTGCCTATGGAGACTAGACCACCTCCAGTCTAGTCAGTGGGCTCCTGCTGCCCAGCCAGCAGGGAGAGGACTGTCAAAGAATCAGTGCAGAGCCAGGCAGGTTCTGGTTTCCTTGTTTCCTGTCTGGAGTTGCGTTCCTGCTGTGTGTGGGCCCTCAGAGAACCCAGAGAGGTCAGTCGAACATAGCACAGGGCCCAGTCCCAGGGACTGACCCAACGGAGAGGACGATGGGCCCTTTGATGATCCACCAGTAGGGGGAGCTGTTGTCTAGGTCCCAGCACCTGAGAAGAGGACAGTTCTGGCTGGCTGGCTCCCTATGTCTGCAGCGACTAGGTGCCTCTGCATTCCTTCTTTCTGCTCTGGAGTTACTGAACTCTGCTCTCCTCCCTGGCCTTCATACCTTCAGCTTGTCCCACCTGATTATCTGTCTCAGACACATCCTTTCCAAATGGGAGCCTCAAAAGCAGACTGGACTCACCCTTTCTCTCCACCAAGATTATGGCCATCTATAAAACCCAAACTTTCTGGCCCCCACACTTTCCTTACTCCAGAAGACTCACTGACAGCTCCCCCATCCCCTGTTTCCCGTGGGTCCTGCAACCCTGATAATCTGAGCACCCTCTCTTGCCCCTCCTGTGCTATCTGCAGACAGCTTCCTGCCTTCTAACCCCACCATGCCAAGGACTCTCTCATCCTCCTCTTCCTAACTCAGAGACAAGCCTCCATATCTGGTAGCCCCTTCCACACCTCTGCTGACCAGGTTCAGGGGCAAGGAGGCTGCTGAGACTCACGCAGTGTCCTCGAAGGCTAGTTTGCAGGCCACCCAGGTACCTGTACAGAGCATGGGGAGTCCTGTGGGGTACAGAAGAGACTCCAGTGAGGGGTCTGAGTCCTTGGCTGTGAGACCATCCCCCACCTTCCACCAGTTCTGCCAGCCACACACAGACTGCAAAGGCAGGACCCAACAAGGTCTTGGGGATCAGGGACCTCATCCACTTCCCAATACTAGGTAGATAACTGTGGCCTATCCCTTCCCCTTCCAGAGTCTCAGGGTCACCAGTGAGGTGAAAGAGCCTCTGTGTGGGCTCCCTGGGCCTTCCCAGCCTTCTCCCTCCTCTGTGGTGCCTGGCCAGCCCTCTGTGCTTACCCCAGCCAGCAAGAACCAGCCACCAGAAGGCTGTCCTGGAGCTGGGGGATGTGGAGGCCAAGAGGCAACTTAGGTAGACAGCTTCTGCCAGCAGCCAGCTGAAGTTGGTCATGGTAGCAAAATGTGAGGCAGCCACAGACACCTTGCACAGGACCTGGGGACCAGGGACCTGGGGGCTTCAGAGCTGGGACCCCTCCTCTAGAGCCCCCATCCAAGTCCTCCCTACCCCACTGAGACCATAAGCCCTCAGACCCCCACTGCCTTAGGCTAGACCATCTGACTCCTTGAGCTGCCTCAAAGGGTATAAGTTAGTTTAATATGGTGGTCAGAGCACAGACTGGAGATCCAGATGGGTGGGTTCCAATATACCATCATTAGCCAGGCAAACTTCCTTGGGCCTTAGCTTTCCATCTGTGAAAGGAAGAACTCCCAGTGTCTCTCTCATGGCCTTCTCACAGGGTTAAATGGAAACTCTGCATAAGAATTGCTATTGCTGAGGCCTGGCTCTGAGGCCCCAGCTACACTGAGGTAGGTAGGAGGATCTTGGTCAGAGTAGGAAAGGAGGAGAAGAGCATAAGACCCTAACTAAAAACAAACAAAAAAAACTAAAGCAAAAAGGGCTGGGGTCATAGCTCAAGTGGTAGAGTGCCTGCCTAGCAAGCTCAAGACCCTGAGTTCAAATCCTAATAGAAGAGACAGAGAGAGAGAGAGAGAGACAAACAGAAAGAGAGAGAGACAGAGAGAGAGAGAGAGACAGAGAGAGAGAGAGAGAGAGATTCCCGCCATATTTCTCCTTTCACACATCCTTCCTGAGTTAAAGTCAATCCTTAAAGCTGTAATGATGACCACTTTATCTACTCACAGCTCTGGGCGGTGAACACATGACACACCCATACACACGCTCATTCGCTGAGTGCCTACCTCACCTGCCCAGGTGCACAACAGGCACCAGAATTCCAGCATGGCCCCCAGTAGTGACCAGGCCAGCTGCCTCTCGTTAACAAAATGGGATTAAAGGTGATGCTTTCAAGGCATTTTGAAGATCAAAGATCATATATGTAAAGCACTCAGTGCACTGCCTGGCCCATAATAAGTACTCAATACATTCAATTATTAATTCCTTCATTAATTAACTTGGGCACTCTCTCCTTCCTTCTATTTTTCAGCCTCCTTTCTCTCCCCACCTGACCCCCCCTCCCTTTACAACTTCTGGATTTGTGGCCATGCCAGCGTCTGAGTTTGTTCATACTGCTCCCTCCATTTGACTTGCCCTTCTTCCTTGCTGCCCCTTCCTAGCCTTGCTGCATACCCATCTCCTCATTCACTCCCAGATCTCAGCTTCCTCCTCAGCAGACCTCAGATCTAGGCATATTTGGTCCCCTGGGAACTTCTGGAAGAAGGGAACAGCTCCCTGCAGCCAGTGGCATACATACACCCAGCCACAAACAGATGGGTGCTAGGGGAAGGGAACTGGAAAGGCTGGCCACAGTGAGCTGTGGGCTGGCTCAGATTATGAAGTGTGCTCTGGAGAGGAACCCAGAACACAGAATGGCAAGCAAAGGACGCAGCATGGACTGAGCTCCAGGAAAGGCTCAAGGACTTAGGTCTGAGCTGGAGAGGGTGGGAAGGAGCAGGAGCTTTTAGCTGCTCTGTCACTGGCCATGAGGCCCAGGGTCAACCCACAGCTGACCAACCAGGCTCTCTTCTGCCCTCCTCCCTGCCCCAGGCCATCCAGCCACATCCTTTACAGTGGAGAAGCCACAGTGGTCCACGCTGTCGCTGTCACCACTGAAGAGAGCAGCATCCTTCAGGAACACAGCGCCTGCCTTGAGGATGAAGGTGGCAAACAGCTGTGTGTGGATGTAGTTCCGGGGGCAGTGGAGCCTCCTAGAGGAGACAGGAGAGGTGAGGATGGGAGAGATGAGGTACAGAGGCCTGAGAAAGCCTCATTGTGGCTACAACAGGACCTGGCTGGGCTGGGCTGGACAGAGGCAAGTTGAATAGAATCAAAATGAAGCAAATCAAGCCAAATCAGATGAAATCAAGCTGAATTAAATTGAGTCAAACTGAGCTGAATGTGGAGTTTTCACCCTGCAGGTCAGCAGATCAATCACAGCCTTGGGCTGGGCATAGATGCAGGAAACTATAGTCCCTGCCATCAGGGAGCTCTCAGTCCAGGGACACAGAGGCCAACAAGGAGCCCCCTAGATGATCAGAGACTCATCCCCTGAAGTAGAGGACAGCACAGGCTGACTGTGAAATCTGAAACGCCATTAAAACACAAGGTCTTCATGCAGGAGGAAAAACGATTCTTAGAAACAGTTGAGAGCTGGACTTCAAGTTTTAGCAGGTGTAAATATACAGAGAAAAAAAGGAGACATTCCAAACAAACAGAATGAGAGCTATGAGTGGCCATAGGAGTGAGTTCTGGTGTGTGAAGAGATGGCTTACATGTTTGGGAAAAGTGTAAAAATTAGAAATGGACATGACGCTTAGCTCTGGAAACCTGTCAACTGTCCAGGCAAAGAATTAGACTTGGTTCTGGGGCAAAGGGGAGCCAATGAGGTTCTTGAGCAGGTGATGAGGGTGGCAAACCTGAGAGCAAGCAGGATGGCAATGGCCACACAGAGAGCTACGATAGAGACGCTATGGCCTGTGGTGTAGATGATCTTCACCGTGGAGAAGTAAGCTTTCTGCAGAGAGTGGAGACAGAAGAAAGTCTCAGCCCTCGGGGAGAGGGAAGTCCATCAATCAAGCAGGCTTAGCTTTTGCAACCACACCCAACCCTGTCCATCTGGAGGCAGAAGTTTCTGTGGGTGACATGGAAAGCTCCCCCTATGCCCTGGGCTTTCTGCCTACTCATTGGGAAGGGAAGGTGGTAATGCTGATCACTCACTGCTGCTCTGGTAGCCGGGGGGAGGGGACAGCAGAAACCACTCCTCGACTCTGGGGAATGACAAAAGCCTCTTTGGACTGATATCTAGCTTGGGAACATAACATCCCCATAAAAAGAGGGAAGCAAGGACAACCGCAGGCGGGCTGGGAAAATCTCTTTCTGGATGCAAGTCTTTGGGTCAGTCAGATTCCCATCTGGTCCCAGAACTGGAGATGTGAGGGAAAAGAACAGGGGCCCAGGCACTGGCTCTCCTGTGTTGCTCAGGAACACAGAAGATCTAAAAAATGATCACACCCATGCTTTAGCTATCAGGACTGAGGGGAGAGAGAAGTGGATTCAGCTCCTTTACAAGGTGCTTGTGGGATGTGCTGACACATGGGGAGTGGGTCTCTGCAATCAATTCTGGGCTTTATTTCTCCTACTTGCCCATACCACAGCCATATGCACTGCCCCACAGGCTGAGGACCACAGAAGGAAAGTGCTTGCACCGAGTAGCTCTGGGAACCACCCAGAGCTCCCTGTGCTGGAGTCCCTAGTACAGAAAGAGCTTGCCAAGGTAGAAGCCAGCACATCTTCCAGCCTGCCCTCTGCTTCCCCTCCCTCTAAGCAAAGTGCTCCACCTTTGCCAGACACTTTACTGCCCTCCACTATACAACTGCTGTGATTACTATTCCAGACTGATGGTTAGAATGGGAATGGTGGCCCCCAAGTGATACAGTCCATCACATAAATAAATTGAAGTGGCAACCCTAGCTCCAATTTGCCAGGAGCTTCTTACCTCTTTAGTCAGCAATTCCAAGGGCACAGGACAGGCCACAGGGTAAGGTGGAAAGGGATTGGACCAACCTGCGATGGTACAATTCCGCTTCACAGCCCCTGGGGGACAAACAAGAGTCTCTGGTTACCTGGATCCCTCCCCTCTCCAAGGAGCCCTGGGCCACCAAACGCCCCTGGTGGGGTTTCTGCAGGTAGTTCTTGGCAGCAGACAGAGGGAGACCTCCCCTCCAGAGACCAGCATGCCAGGCTAAGGCAAGACCTGAGCCATCCTTCTCTGGCCTTCTACTACACAGAGTCATTCCTGTCCAAAGCAGAGTGATGAGCTGGACCCTAAGCGTCTTAAGGGTAGTAGATGCTCTCTGCCCCTGGAAGGACTGTACACCTCCCAGATTCCCAGGCCATGGGGTAAGGCAGAGCAACAGGTGCCCTCCACTATCCCTGTCCTAGACAGCAGACAGCATGGCAGCAGCCAGGCAGGACATGCATCCTCCACCCTTACAGCCAGCTTCTTGCCAACAGCACGTTAACTCTTGCTCTGTGCCAGACCCTGGTCCACCATATTTATGCTCCACTCTCTGATCCTCCACATGAGGTCAGTTTCTTGCTCTTGTTCAGGAAATGAGGGTCAGGGTTGACCAGCTTGCCTAGATTTATGCCAGAAGAGGGGAGGTTGGCATTCAAATCCAGATAAGACTGCCCCTAAAGCAGCAATGTGCCACTTTCAGATGAAACTACCTTCCTGCATCACACCCAGAGCCCCTTACCTGGCTCGGAGCTGAAATGAGAAAAGAAATCCGGGCAGGGGAGGGCAATCCACTCGTCAAAGCCTGTTGTTGGCCAGCACAGCAGCCCATCCCAAGTCCTTGGGCAGCCTGGATGGATTGGGGGGAGACACACACAGGGGTAGAACCACCAGAAGAATGTCTGGCCCGCACTCTGAGGGGGAGCTGGAGGAAAGGGAAGAATCAGGAAAGCCCCACCCCCAAGCCCCATACTCAGGGAATTGTTGGGTGTCCCCTCTGCCGCTTGTAGACATGTACGTTCATCCTCTCTCAACTGAGTAATGAAGTCACATTCTAGGTGCTCGTGGCCCAATGCCTGCAAGAAAGAGTGACCAGGTGTCCCTCTGAGTTCTCTAGCCCAAGTGTCTGAACACAGAGAAGAAAGCCTGGTACATCTCAGTGCCTCTGGTTCTGAGCACAACCTTGCCTCACAGAACTTCCAGTGCGTTTGGTGGATGTCTGGACATATGGAAGGAAGGAGAGGGGGAGAAAGAAAGGGAGAGAGGGAGGGAAGGACAGATGGAGGTTTGGATGGATGCTTCCCCTTTCCATCTCATGGAAGTAAGTTCTGGGACACATTAAACTAAATGCTTCCAAAGACCCCATAGCAATGGCAAATGTATCCTTGCAGTAGCTTTTCCTCTTTTCCTGTACTGCACCCCTGTTCTGCTCACCTGCTCCCTGAGAGGAGTTCTGCAGAAACCTACTATGACTGACAGAATAACAGCCCCCAAAGATGTCCATCTCCCAATCCATGAAATCTAAAAATGTGTGACTTCACACGGCAAGAGGACTTTGCAGATATGATTAAGTGATGGATCTTGAGATGGGACTGTGTCACAAGGGTCCTTATAAGAGGGCAACAGCAAGATCAGAGTCAGAGCCAAAGGAGAGGGGTTGATGGAAGAAGGGGGAGAGAAAGAGAGATAGAGATTAAATCAAAGAAGCTGGCTTTGAAGTGAAGGAAAGGGCCATAGACCAAAGAAAAGGCAAGGAAATGCATTCTCTCCTACAGTCCAGGGAAGGAGTGCAGCCCTGCTAACTCAGCTTTAGCCTACTGAAAACCATTTTGGACTTCTGATCTTTGTCTCAGGATCTGCTTTCAGAGGTTCTCAGACAAGCAGATGGATAGGTTAATTAGTAAGTGAGAGAGTATATAGATGAATGAGTATTTGATTTGGGACATGACTGAGGCAATGGAGCAAATGAATGTAGAGGGATAGATGGATGGATGGATGGATGGATGGATGGATGGATGGATGGTAGAATGGATGAGTATGGATACAGACAAATGGAAAAAGAGATGAACGGATGGATGGATGATAGATGGATGATTTGCTGTCTGGCTTGTGGAATGAATGAATATGCATATATACAGATAGATAAAGGGATGGATGGGTAGACTGACAGATAGATGGATGATGGATGGATGATTTGCTGACTGGTGGAATGGATGAGTTTGCATGTAGACAGACAGATTAAAAGATAGATGGATGGACTAATGGATGGAGAGATGGATGCATTGTGGGTGAGTGAAAATGCTATATCAGGATGGATGGGTGGGTGGGTTGATGGGTAGTTAGATATAAGGATAATTGCCTTCATGTGTGATTTATCAATCAAGAAGGATTAAGTTTTAGGAGTTTCCTAGAACCTGCTTTCCAGTGACCATAGGGAATGATCTCTGGAAGCTGGGAAGCAGTTGTCTTTCTGGAGATCTAGCAGTATTTCTGAAGGTGCACCTAATGAACCTACTAGAATGAAGCTGGATATGCAGAGATCTATGGTGGGTCTAGGACTTGGCACTTTAACAAGTTCTCTGGGGAACTGGAAATCAAAACATTTCTTCCTCCTACTGCCCTAGATTGGAGGAAAATGAAAACTGACCCTCCAACAGGCCAGAGCCCCAAGCAGACTAGCGACTTCCTCAAGCAGTCAGTCTAACTGGCCCTCTGCAGTGCTCTGTCCTCTGTCCTTCCCCCATACTGTCTGTAAACTCTATCCTACTGGCAGGCCTCCATCAGGGTCTGTCTGGGGAACCACTGAGGCTAAAAGAACCAGGGAACCATCCCAAAGGATGAGCAGACAGTTCCCTACTTCCTACAGAAGGATCAAACTCAGGAAAACCCACCAACTGGCCTGGGGTATATGGTCCCACAGCCAGCTGTCAGATGAAGACTCTAAGAAGGGGTGGAGAGAAGGGGCAGGCAAGACCAGTCATTCCAAGACTTATCCTTCTCCTACTGAGCTGCCCATGCCTACACATTGGTCCTCTCCCACTCCTGGGAAGAGACTCCATCTCCCTGAACAGCCTGGCCTTGCCATCTGCCACTCTGCTCATTTTGGAATCTGTGGAGCTGGATCACACACCATGAGACAATGATTCCTTCTTTGTCCTGGCTCTGGCACTGGCATCAGCTGCTAACTGATTCCCAGTGGTCTAGGGTTCTCCTCCCCAATGAAGCTCTAACTGAAGCTCTAACTGTAGGGTGCAACTTCCCCAGGTCACATGGCTATTTTCATGGTTCCAAGAACCAAGTCCAAAGGTGGTATGTCTAGGGTCAGGTATAGCAATGAGCCAGGGAGAGGTCCCCAGACAGGCAGCAAGAGGAAGGTGGTCTCAGTCCATGTGAGCTTCCCCTTAGTACTTGATAACTTCCCTCTTGGTCCCTACTGTCACTTGCAGTGACCAGGAAAATATCCTGGAAATTTGCAGTACATGCAGAGAGGGTGCTAGGCCTCAGCACCTATGCTCCAGCATTCTAGACCACGGAATAATAGTTAGTTGCTAGAAGGTTCTCTACCACAGGGCATCCTGAGAGCAAGAGTTCCCTAAACAGCAGAGCAGGAGTGACTGCTGTCCACTAACTGCTCAGGCCCCACTGGGTCCCCATGGAACCAATCACACTGGTTGCAATGGAGGAGCCCCAGGGTAGCAAGGGTCTAATCTTCTCCAGGAGGAGAAGTAGGCGTGCCCAGCTTAGAGCAAGAGCAGACTCAGTGTGAAGGGGGAAGCCTGGCTTTCCCTCACCATTTCCAAGGCACTATCTCTGGGCAAGTAGGGTCTCTGTGGCCCCCAAAGAGCCCACGAAGGCCCTGGGAGGGAGGAGACTGAACAGTGAACACAGCTGCCTGGGAAGGGAAAAGGAGGAGGGAGCTGCCAGGACCAGGGATTGTTCTCCCAGCCACAACGTGCCTCCACCTGGGAGGGAAGGACTAGGAGCTGGGGAAGCCAGTGGGATCTGCAGCTGGGCAACCAAAGGGCTCCACGGCTCCCAGACCTGACACCCGGTGGGAAAGGCAGGAGGGTCTGAGCTAGCTACTCACGACTCCCAGTGGGCTCAGCAAGCAAAGGACGCAGGTGCCCCACATCCTGCCGTCCATGTTGGGGCTCCACAGCAGCTCCTGCAGTCTACCTAGGTAAGCTTTGCCTCGCTTCTCTCTCCCACTGTCCCTGCTACTGCTACCACACTGCCTGCTTCTCCTTCCCAGGTGCCTATTTGCATAGGCAGGAGCCAGCAAAGGGGACACACAGCTGAATATTCACCAGCATGACAGCACGCTGTGCCTAACTGGGCCCCAGCCCTGAGTAGGACTCCATGTCCTCAGCAGTGAGGGACTGAGCACACCCCACCCCAGCCATCTGCCTCTGTCTGGAGTGTGTTTGTCCAGACAGCAAGGACCTGGAGAACGGACAGCCACAGGACATTTCAGTTGGCCAATATTATTTTCCATGTTCTCAGAGCCCAGCTGTCCAGTGGCCTTCACTAGAAAGCCTTCTCCCTGCCTGCCTCAGATTGAAGGGACCTCAGAAAGTGGGAAGGAGACCCAGGCCACCCTGAGGGAGCCCCAGGCTGGTTGGTACTCCCAGCCTCATCCACAGGCTGGAGGGTGAGCTCAGAGCGCAGGGCCCCAGCAGAGGTTGGGACAAGTGAGGTAGGGAGCTGGAGGGCCTGAACGAACTCTGATCACTAAGTGGCATAAGTCGGCCAGGAATGTGTTGTGTGAGCAGGACCCAGCTTTTTTATCCAGCAAATGTTAACACTCCTGACTTCACATGGGGCTTAGGAAAGTCTCCCCAAGAATCATCATGGCAAGAGGGGAAGTTGAGGCTGACTGGGAGTCTCTCAAAGGGATCCATAGAGCCAGGCCACCTTCAATGAGACAAGAGAGCTGTCCTCAGTAGCAGAAATGAGAGGGCCTGGACAGCCACTCAAATTATCTTCAGCATTCATTGCCTGGTCATTATTATTATAGTTCTGGATTTTAAAATGCAAGAACTCAATTGGCCAATGAGCCCGGATCTCACACAGAATTTTGGAATTTGAAAGCAGATTTCATTTTTGCAGTCCATGAATGTTCCAAGAGCTGACAAGTTCTAATGAGTGGGTGCCAATTGCCATTCTTGGAGGTTGTTGGGCTGTGGGCTGGGGACACCAGATGTGTTTACAGCCCAATGCAGTCATGAATATGCAAGGCTCTTCGCCCCCACCACATCTGGACTGAGGAATTGTTTGACATCAGCAGATCTTTATTTTTCCACTATTATTCATTGTCAACAAAACAGTGAAACATATTTTGAAAGAATGAACCACTCAAGTCCTAGACTCCCCACCCTTCCTTGTAGTGTTTCCTGAGTCTAACTGTGCAACACTGGTGGTGCAACACACTGAGCTCAGCCCATTTTGAGGAGCAATCAGAAGTCCTCTGAGGCAGACTGAACAAGGACTCACAGGTTGAAAGAGCAGAATGCTCAGAAGGCATGACTTAAGGGGATACCGAGAACCTTCTGTCCCTTGACTGTAAAAAGGCAACAGCACAGGAAGAATATTATGATTAACCACAATTGATAATTAGCATCAATATTGTTAGTATTCATGGTGGTTAATAATTGGTGTTGATGGTCAAGGTTCATGCATTAGTTAATATTATCTAAATACTGTGATTCTTAACAGGAGGCAATGTTACCACCCCCTGGACATTTGGCAATGTCTGGAGACATATTTTATCATCACAAGCAGAGGTTAGGAGTGCAGAAGTGGGGGGGAGTCTACCAGTATCTAGGAAGTAGAGACCAGGGATGCTCTTAAACATCTTACAATGCACAGGTCAGCTCCCATAGCCATATCAAGAATTATCAGATTCACAAGATCAGTAAGACCAAGAATGACAAGCCCCGGTCTAACCAATTATTCATGTTCCTCCCAAATCCTTCCTTCCCCACCCCTGCCCCAAAGCCTAGACTTCTGAATTACCCATGGTTATAGACCTCCCTTCTTAAGCTCTTTATATATATAAATATGGTTCAATTCTTCCTCCACCACTTGCTAGTTGTCATACCTTGGGCCAGTTATTTAATGTTTCAGAAACTCAATTTCCCCATCTGAAAGTGGAGATAATACTAACACCTTCCTTATAGGATTAGTGGGATAAGTTGGCAGGGAAAGGCACATAGAGTACCTCATACACAACCTTGTTTCCAGTATACAATCTTTGTATACTCATTTGTACAATCAATGTAACACGAGTTGACTTCACAAAGGTTGGAACAAGTGATTCTTGGTATGGGAAAAAGATTGGATCTCTAGCTCACATTACAAAATATAAATTCTAAAATGTATAATACCCTACCTATAAGATGGCAGAATAATAAGATCCTTTCAAAAATAGTAATTCATTTAATGACCTAAGAATAAAGGAGACTTTCTTATATGATGAAATGAAAACTATAAAGTAAATATCAATAACTGATTAAAAATAGTGCATGCTTAAGAAAGGACCAACAGCAAGCTACAAGCTGAAAGAAATGTTTGCAGACAATATTGGCAAACAAATTCATAGTATCAACCATACATTTTAAAAATACCTGAAAATCAATAAAGAGAAAAATAATCCAATAGAAAAATGAACTAAAGATATATATATCATGTATATATCAATGTGTTTACACACATATATTGTGTATGTGTCTATATACAAGCACCTTTCTTATAGAGCTGATGAGATATATGGTATATGTCATATACAACCCATATATATGGATATATATAATTCAGAAATGTATGGGCCAATAAATAGATGAAAATATAAGCTACCCCTTTCACTTACCACATTGCTTAAAATTTTTGTCTGATAATATACCAATGTAATGAAGACAATGTAAGGAAATAGATATTTTCATATGGTACAGATGAAAGCAAATGTTTTATTTACCTATTTTGAAAAGCAATTTGGTATTAGCTGTCATTTATAACACATGATAAACTCAGGAAGCAATATAGTTGTCCCATAATAAAGGAATAGCTAAATAAAATGTGATTTTTTTTCATACAATGGAATATTACAGAGCAATTAAAAATATGAAGTATAATGGGCTGATGATGTAGCCCAGTGTACAGTGCTTTCAGGGCTGGGCTTAATCCCCGGCACTGAAAAAAAATGTAGAAAACATAAGAGCTAGGGCCAAGCACAGTGACTCATGCCTGCAACTCCAGCTACTCCAGAGGTAGAGATTAGAAGGATTGTGATCCAAAGTCAGCCTAGGCAAAAAGTTAGTGAGATACCCATCTCAACTAAGAAGCTGGACATGGTGTTAGCACCTGTCATCCCAGGTACATGGGAAGCATAAATAAGAGGATCATAGTCTAAGCTAGCCAAGGCAAAAACATGAAACCCTAGTCCAAAAATAACTAAAGCAAAAAGAGCTGGGGCATGGCTCAAGTGGTAGAGCACCTGCCTTGCAAGCACAAGGCCATGAGCTCAAACTCCAGTACCACCAAAAAAGAAAAGAAAACATATGAACTGGATCTATGTGTATCAACATGAAGATGTCTCAAAATATATTTTGAAGAACTTCCGCTTCCAGCAAAGATGGAGTAACAGTGATTGAATCCCCATTCTGTCTAAACAGCAAGAAATTCAAACAAGATATGCAAAACATTGTCTAGCTGATCCCTATGCAGTGGTTTCCTACCTAGAGGTAATTTCTAGGTCAGCTCAAAGAGGAGGAAACCAAACCCAAGCTGGTGGTCCTGATAAGTGAAGGGGATGGAGACCGGGTCGAGAAGGCCAAGCTGGGCTGACTTGGTGAGCAGAGTATGAGAGAGAAGGTGCTGTAGAGAGACAGAGTTGTTCCACAGCTCAAACACAGGTTCTCCCCAAAATGCTCCTGACCCTGCAGTCTCTGCCTAGACTGCTATCCAAGAATATGTGAAAAGATATTAAGGCTGCAGAAAGAACAACTGGAAAGGAAAAGCGGAGTTTATAGGGCTGAGGATAATGGGACAATATCAAGTAGTCTAACACACATAAAATTGCAGTTATACACAGAAAGAGTGGGGAGGTACAGAAAAAAATAGTCAAAGAAAAAACAGCTGAAATTTTACTAAAGTTACATCTGTGTATCTAAAAATCCAAGAAGTTCGGTGAGCAGCAAGCAGAATAAAGAAACAAATGAAAAACCTCTAAGTCACATGATAATTCAATTACTGAATTAGTAATAGAGAGAAAGCTCACCAATAATAGGGAGAAAGTCTCATCAGCAACTAAAAGGCAAACATGTTGTAGACAAAGATGAAAATGACAGCAGATTCCATCAGAAACTATGCAAGTTAAAAGAAAGTGGGAAAATATCTTTAAAGTACTAAAAGAGAAAAAAAACTTTCAAAATATAACTTTGCTAGTAAAAATCTCTTTTGACTATGTGGCCAAATGTAAGAATTCTAAAGAGAAACCAAAGAAGAGAAAATTTAGTCAGCAGAGTTGCACAACAAGAAATATTAAAGGAAGTTTTTCAAGTCAAAAAGAAAATGATGCCTGAAAGTGAGGAGGGGTGGGAGAGTGGAGGGGAGGAGGGAAAAGGGACATGGGGGAGAGGTGGCCCAAACAATGTGTACACATATGAATAAATATAAAAACAATAAAAATAAAGACAATGGAAGACAAAAGTCACATGTTTTCTTTTGTATGTGGAAGATAAATCCAAAATATAAATGTACACACAAATTTAAATAAGGTCATGTATATAGAGAGAACATGCTTGAGGGGAGTACCAGGAAGAGGGAGAGGAAAAGAGAATGATAGAAAGCAACTAACCTTGAAATACATTGCACCTGTGTTGGAAGGCGGCATAATTAAAGCACTGAAATATGTTGATAATGGGGTAGGGGAAAAGGATAAGGAAGGGTAATAAAGGTAGTTAGCTAATCTGATTAAAATTCAATATACTCACAGGTGAAATACCATAGTGAAACTCCTTTGAACAATGAATCCACAGTGAAATAATGAAGCACAGGAATGTAAAACAAGTCCGTTAGAGGGTGGATATTTGTGGGAGGGAGAGAGTGAGTGGAGGGAGTAAAGGAGGGTGAATACGGTCAATGTAC